TTTTTCCCAAGTCGAGTCTGTTTTGCCTGTGACAGTAAGTGCTGAGTGATCTCCCTGTCCTTATCTTGACCCACAAGCTTTTTGTTATATTTTCTCTCCCCTTTCCAGCTGAGGAGAGGAGTGATAGAGCAGCTTTGCTGGATACCTGGCATCCAGCTGTCTTTATCAGTGATCTGGATGAGGGGATCAAGTGCACCCTTACTGAGTTTGAAGAGGTCACCAAGTTGGGCTGGAGTGTTGATGTGTTTGAGGGTAGGGAGGCTCTACAAAGAGATCTGGACAGGCTGGATCGATGGGCTAAGGCCAATTGTGTGAGTTTCAGTACCAGGTCCTACACTTGGATCACAGCAATCCCACACAAAGCTACAGGTCTGGGGAAGAGTGGCTGGAGAGCTGCCCTGTGCAAAAGGACCTGGTGGTGTTGGTCGACAGCCGGCTGAACAGGAGCCAGCAGTGTGCCCAGGGGGCCAAGAAGGCCAATGGCATCCTGGCTTGTGTCAGCAATAGCATGGCCAGCAGGGACAGGGAAGGGATCTTACCCCTGGTAACTCACCCTGGCACTGGTGAGGCCGCACCTCGATTCCTGTGTTCAGTTTTGGGCCCCTCACTCCAAAAAGGACATTGAATGACTCGAGCGTGTCCAGAGGAAGGGCAATGAAGCTGGTGCAGGGTCTGGAGCACAGGTCGTATGAGGAGCGGCTGAGGGAACTGGGGGTGTTTAGTCTGGAGAAGAGGAGGCTGAGGGGAGACCTCATCGCCCTCTACAGCTCCCTGAAAGGAGGTTGCAGAGAGCTGGGGATGAGTCTCTTTAACCAAGTAGTAAGCGATAGGACAAGAAATAATGGCCTCAAGTTCCTCCAGGGAAGGGTTAGACTGGATATTAGGAAGTATTTCTTTCCAGAAGGGATTGTTGGGCGTTGGAACAAGCTGCCCAGGGAATTGGTTGAGTCACCATCCTTGGAGGTTTTAAAAAGATGTGTGGATGTGGTGCTTAGAGACACTGTCAAGGATGTGACTGTGGTTGGACTCAATGATCTTCAAGGTCTTTTCCAACCTAGATAATAATTCTGTGGTTCTATGTGAGATGTCCTTTCTCTGTGAGCTCCTCATAGTTGAGATCAATGTGAACATTTCATGTTTGGTTCTAATGTGAATTTCTAAACAGAATCTATTTGCTTCTGTTTTTTTCTCACTCCTCAAAAGGGTTCTGCAGAACAATGGTTATATCCAAAAAGATACTGAGAAGAAAAAACAGATCAAGTGAGGAAAATTGTATTTCCTAATCTGTGTTTATGGTGCAGGGATTCTGTTCATAGCGTTTTTCTGTCTGTGTTTTATGCACTTTGAAGAAGCAATAAAATCCTGGCTGTTTTTTTATTATATTCATTGGTGTGACTGAGTAGGTGTGTGAAGAAAGTAGTGGGGGTGACCAAGCATAAATTTTTCTCTATGTTTCTCCTACTCCTTTTCACTCTATCTCTTAATTAGTTTTTTACTCTTTACTATTTGAGCTGTTACAGTCAGTCTTAGGGGTCTTTTAAGATGTCTTATTTGCCAGGTTAATACTGAAATAAATCCATGAGATAATCACAGGAAAATTTAAAGACTGAAAAAAGATTGTGTATATTAATGTACCTACAAAAATAATGTTCATAAAATAGGATACATCACACTGTAGGCTGATTGAAGTAAAGCACAAAGCATCATAGTATCATGTCACTATTGTGAGTACTTTAGGAAAAGGAAATGAAAAAAAAAAAAACCATTTGGAGCCTATTTCCATCTGCAAAGAAGTCACTGCTTACAGTCTTGAGCTTCACTTTTTACAAATATACTGAAAGCTACATTTGTCTTTGTGTCTTTGAGAAAAGAATGGGTCAGGGTCTAAACTGTGCAAGTGTTCAGATACTTGCGAGTTGCTTGTGAAGTGTCCCATTTTATCCCCGTGTTGCATTAAAAGCTGGTTCAAAGGCTGTTAAAAGTAATAAAATAATTTACAGTAAGTTTGAAGCATCTACAATATTTCTCTGAAGAAATACAAGCTAAGTCTAAGTGCTACTATGTAGCAATGTCTATAGATGGTAAAATGTTTCAAGCCTGTATTTCTGTGTTATAGTAGAAAGAAAGATGTTATATTTCAGCTTTTTTCCTCATATTGGATTGTGTGGTAGAGTTGTCAGAGATGACAGATATTCTTTAAAGTATTTGCCGTCAAAAATGTGGATAAATTAGAAATACTTTCTTTACACATTCCCTTGAAATTATTATAATGTTCTGATATTATTGTTATATTCTAAGCGGAATGAATAGTTGATATTTTCCTAACATTGAATAGATCATAATGTCTAAGTGGGTTTTTGTATTCGTAAGAAACTGCCACCTGTACCTCACGGTCAAGTAATATGTGTACTGGTGTTCTTTAATTTTGTTAAGTGTTGTTATGTATTGATCTGTTAAACTGTTCTTTTACAGCTCCTGTGATCTTTTTAGTGTGCATTATAGTTTTAAACATACTTATATAAAAGTATTAGAAAAGTTAGAGTTGGTGTTTTACTTAAAAAATTGTATAAGCATTTTTAATATTAAAAAATATATCTGTGAGGGAAAGTAACAGCTTTAATCATGATTTGTAATAATTACTTGTAACAATCTAGGCATGAATCAGGGTGATTTTAACATTTCAGCCAGTTTCAGCGAACATTCCCTTTTGAGCTAAGAGTACTTCTCCAAAATAGTTTTTAGGAAATGGAAATAACTCATACATCTTGAATGCAGAGGTTGTGGATTCTGTATTTGGTATGTTTGGTATTTTGAAGCAAACTTTTTCTCCTAGGATTGTTCTCTGTGGGAGAATTTGCTTTTGTATTAGGGTCAAACCACTGCCAGTTTGTTTGGTGAATAGTTGTGACTTAACACAACTTAAAGATGAGATGTGGTGTTAAAAGATGAGATGTGGTGTTAAAAACAAAAATAATGCTCTTAACTATCACTTAATTCTTAGAGAAGAGTAAGACTTCAGAATGTTATTGTTGCTAAAGGCTTATGTGGTTTAAAGAAGGTGACTGGATGGATAAATTGGTGAAAAGTACACTGGGGTACTGTTAAGTAGAAGGATAACACCTCGGTCTGGAGAAACCTTCGATCTGCAAATTGCTGCAGGCTGGAAGGGTATTCTGGGGAAGTACTGCTGTGCTTTCACTATTTCTTGCCTGCTTTTGGCCACTGTCAGAAAGAGTATACTGCCTAGATTAATAGTTGATTTTTATCTGGTATGTATACTGTTGTCTTCCAACCCTGTATGTGTATCTGTGCCTACATGATTGAGTCATTGCTCTTACTTCATTGTATTCACTTGTTTCTCCAAATTGATTACACAATTTCTGAACAAAGATAAATTTTATGTGATAAAAAAAATATAAAATCTATAAATTAATTTGAGGAATAATTAGTTAAAATTGTTTCTTAGAACAAATGTTATATTTTACAGCTCTACTACCTTGCTGATGATTATGATTTTTGGATTTGAAAGGTGCAGATTTTACCAGCATCTATTATTTGAGTTCATATTGATGTTTAGGATTTTTTTCTGGGATAATGGTCCCCATTTTATTTTTTTTTTTAAACATTTTTAAATTTCAAATGCCTTTGTCACACAAATGCCTCAAAGCCAAAGCTTCCATTTAAAGAAACAAACAAAAAAAGAACAAAAATTGCTGTCTGGAACACATTCTGTAAAAATATTTCACTCCTTTATAGAAGTCCCAGATAAAGATAGTTTTCTTACTAAGTGGTCACAGCAGGCTATCAGAAGGTCTTGTTTGATGAGGAGGTTGAAATTCATAAAGAAGTTACCATCTTGTGTTTCAGTTCTAGTTAATGCATATATAACATGCTTCACATAAAATCTCAACAAACAAGGAAATAAAACTGACAGTATTAAATATTCAGTACTTCTAGCTTTAACCTGTGTTCTTACTTCACCACCTGCCCAACTATTGAATGTCATCATGTTTCTTAGTCTTAATCAGCTGCATCAGGACTGCAGTCTGCCATCAATTTATTTCCCAAATTTGAGTAAGATTATCAGAACTGCAGAGAGTTCAGTGATGGGGGGGTGGCGGGTGCAAAGCAGGTCATGGTTAAGGGTCTCTCTTCCCAGTAAACTTGCCTGAATTGAGGAATTGAGTTTGTAATAGTTTTGATTATATTTCTTGTTTTTCTGACTGCTTGAGCATCATCTAATGTCTTCCCTGGAGGTACTAATAATTGTTGTTATAATGAAGTCTAATCTCCATTCAGTTTTGTAGCTTTGATCTTGGTTATACTGACTCTTAGATGTTGTATTACCTGAAATGAGAATTGCATTTTGTGCATGAATTTGAAACACCAGAAAAACCATATGCATGGCTTTCCGAGTGGCTTTTAATATACAAATTTTATAGGCAATATAGTAAGGAACCATCTGAAAATCACAGTAGATTTCTTCTGTGGTATATTTCTATGCAGTACTTCATTATGGTTAGAAATACCTCTGAAGTGATATAATGGTTTTAGTTCTTACACTTTTCAGAGAAATGGTAGATTTACACATGTAAATTAAATTTTCAAATAATTTTTCATACTAGTTAATATTACTTTGTGAGTAATTAGAAAGCATAGATAGGCCTGGTGAAATTTAGCATCTTCCAGCTATCAACTCATCAAAGAATTTTGTCTGTAACTGTTACTTCTATTGTGTATGGTGTTTCAATCCATGTTAGATTTCATGTGTTAAGTAGGTATGAACTTAATTATGTTCTCTGATCTGAACATCTCAGAACCTGATGTAAATCTTATTAAGATAATTTTTCTTTGGGTAAATTGAACTTGTCTTCTAAAGTGCTTACAAATTTGTGTTACTATACAGTCTTTCAAAGGACTAGATCAAGTGTATGTCTTTTGACTGAGTTATCTAAAATTGCATTACTTTTATTAATACCATTATTATGTGTCTTTTTCAGGGTGTTGAGGAATGGAATATTGCCCGTCTTAATACAATATTGGACGTTGTAGAAGAAGAGTGTGGAATTACTATTGAGGGTGTAAATACACCATATCTATATTTTGGCATGTGGAAAACGACATTTCCATGGCACACTGAAGACATGGATCTCTACAGTATTAATTATCTCCATTTTGGAGAGCCAAAGTCATGGCAAGTTTAAATTTTTATGAAATAAGTTTTCATTAATCTGTTTTAGCTGACTATACCAAATGGGGTACAATTGCTTCATAGTGGTAAGCTTTACTGAAAAGCTAAAATATTTCATAGCATTTTCAGCTTTACTATGTGAGGCTTGTGATGTAAAGAACATTGTGGTAATGCATCTTTTTATTTTAAAGGAAACTCTAATAAGTATATAAGGCTTATTTAAGTCCAACAGAAAAAGACTAGTGATTCAATACAAGAAGTTTAATGAGTTGGGAACCCCGAGTCTATTTGAGAGACTTTCTGTAAGGCACCTTTGAAATCACAGAGTTGGAAGGGACCATAAAGATAATTTAGTCCCAACCCCCCCTGCCATGGGCAGGGACACCTTCCCCTAGCCCAGGTTGCTCAGAGCCCTGTCCAACCTGGCCTTGAACCCTGCCAGGGAGGGGGCAGCCACAGCTTCTCTGGGCAACCTGTGCCAGTGTCCATCACCCTCACAGGAAAGAATTTCTGCCTTTAATCTAATCTAAACACACCCTCTTTCAGTTTAAAACTGTAACCTCTTGTCCTATCACTTCACTCCCTGATAAAGAGTCCCTCCCCAACTTTCCTGTAGGCCTCCCTTAGGTACTGGAAGGCTGCTGTAAGATCTCCCTGGAGCCTTCTCTTCTACAGGCTGAACAACCCTAGCGCTCTCAGTCTCTACACATAAGAGAGGTACTCCAGTCCAGTTGATATGGTGATATGATAAATGTTTTTCTAGTGTACAAGTACTTGTTTACACTTCCAAATGAACAAAATCATTAAACACTGACCTCTTCATGTTTTGAAGAAATAGCAGTGGATAAAACTTTCTGGACCACGTTGGTCCAATATTGTTAAGAAATTCAATGCTAAAAAAAAGGTTGAATGAAAGACTGTTAAAGATTTGTTTGTTGTAACCCATGTGCTTTTACTGGAGGAATGTGCATAATTTACGCTAATACTGTCCCTATATCAGAAAATCTTGTGTTAATGTGATATTAGTATAATATTTTATTTAAAAAAGTGGAGGATGTGGTCACTTCTAGCATACAGGTAGTAAAGAATCTTGGGTGCTCTTAAAAACTTTAACCTGAGTTGAGAAGTGCTTCCTTAGTGAAACCAAGTACTGGCATGTACAGTAGTAAGACATGATTTTAGTTTTACAGGTTATACACGTAGTTCAGGACAACCGCATTGGTCTTATGGAGAACTGAAAAATACTTTATTAATAACCGCAATAGGCAATGTGTTCTCTCTGAATTGTGAGTAAACAACTACTTCCACCTGAGACCTACAATGAGAACTTGTAGGCAGCAGCTAAATGTGTCTGCTGTCAGTCTTGATGGAATGTGAAGTTTCCTCCAGGGTTTAGGCATAGATTATTTTTCATTTCTTCTTACACTCTGTGCTGTTTCACTTCTAAGAGGTACTCAAAGAAGTTTATAGTTTTATATTATGTATACTGATTCCTCCATTACTGCCTTATATGAAACACAGGGGAAGAGTGTGTCTGATAAACAGCCATAGTCCTGATTTTGCAAATAGTTAGTGTGTTTATGTATGTGTATATTTATGTAATACATATGTTAGCTTTATAGATTTTTTTTTTCTGTGCTTGCAGAAAAGTGTGAAAGAGAGGAGATAATTTGAAGGAGAAAGAGGAATTAAGAAAATACAGAAACTCTGAAACAGAACAATATGAGGGGAGAAGAGAGGGGCATATGGTGATGAAAGATTTGCTGGAAAGGGGAATAGAGTCTATTAAAATTACTTGCTGTCAGGCAGAATTTTTACTGCAACTTTTCCATTGCATTTTTTTCTGAGGGGAAGGAAATGTTGAAGATGTTACCTCATTTTACTTCACAGTTTCTTAGGGAAAAAGTCTTTGTTTTCTAACTGCATTATATAAATTAGAGAAGGAAGTTTTTAAAAAATAACAACGAATATCCTGAACTACCTAGTCTTCTGATCTGTGGGTTTGATGTTTGCAGTAATGGAAGGAACAGACTACTTCATATTTCAGCTTTGTAGTTTCAGCAGAGCTACAATAGTAATGATTCTGTAGTACAATAACTTCTTTGGCTCTAATGTCTAGAACAATGTTATTGATGTGGCACAGATTAGTGTGATTACTTCCTGAGGTGTAGGTAGAAAGATCACTACAAAATTTAAGAAATCTAACTAAATTTTTATACTATTATTGATTGTTCTAGTAGAGTTCTGTTTTAACTGTATAGGTTTTTTGTGTTCTTTAATACATTTTACTGTGAAAGCTTGATGATTGGGATTTTATTATGTTTATTCATAGCTTTAAATTAATTTTTATTATGTTAAAATCTTAAGGTTATTAAATTTATTAATGATTTTAAATGCATTGCAGATCAAAACAAAAACATCTGTTTTAAGTTAAATTTCAACGATCTGCTTTACCTTATCGTTTTGGACAAATCAAACTCTATTCAGTGTCTTGGCCACCCCCCTGATCTTTTTTCTATCCTGGACATAGAGGAAATCAAGGCAGGTCAGCTGTGAAAGTCAGAACATGACTGACAGTTCATTGAATTTTGTACTGACTCATAGGAAATCTGTTTTACTAGCTAACCTGAAACACACTTTTTGTGACACAGGTTTTATTTTCTGTTATTGGGAACTAAGGTCTTGTCATCAAATAGTAATAATTTTGGGATATTATTACAGCCTGGATTTTCCATTTTGTGAGTAATGTTAAGGAGTCCTTGGAAAAAGAAAAGCAATTCTGAGATACTTATATTCATGTAGCTAGTATTATCATTTAGCTTCACTGCTTTTGCTGTGAAGGTAAAAATAACTTTCTATGGAAACATACAGACTAAACTAAAAGCATGACTCATTCTAGCGAGAGATCCTTGGTAGTTATACAATGACAGCTATGCAATTCGCAGAGTATGTTGCGGGTATTTATGATTTTTGTCATTCTTTGCAGCCAGTGAAAACAAATTGTCCTTTCTCCTTCTGACACAGTTTCCCTGAGTAATTTAATTTCCATCTTGAATATATCCTTTCACGTTGGAACTAACTTGGTAATAGAAGATTGTGAGAGATTAAAAACCTTTTTCTAGAATCAGAATGGATGCTAATGGTTAAAGAACACTTAATTTTAATAGTTTGTATAGGTCTTGGTGAAAACTTCTGAAACTGTGAAGCAATGCTGCTTTAAACCACATTAGTAAGAATGTTGGCTAAGGTTTTCTGATTATAATTTTGTTTTAAATTTGTTTAAGCACTGCTTAATGTGAAGTGGATGCTAGTCATAGCAAATGTACAGTTACGTTTCTCTGTTTAATTAAAGGCAGAATAGAGAGAATCACAAGTATGTCGTCTGTGCAGTAGATTAGAGAAATGAGGCCTGCATTGGATACTGATGAAAAATAGGATCACTGTATTTATTTTTAGCTACAATAGTAGATTATGTAGGATTTTTTAAATATCTAAAATTTTGTTTCGGAAGGCATAGTTGTAATACTATATGTTTTGCTGCATTTAATTTTTCTAAAATATTCTTATATCACTATCTTAAAAACAAGGCAGTATAGTTTTTTTAACTTGAGGTCACAAAGAGAAGCTTCAATGCTGAATTATTAAATTTTGTATTTAATATATTCTGTTAAAAAAGTAGCAATGATTTTCAACAGATTGTCAATCAGCATAATATGAAAACATTTTAATCTCATACAGTTGCATCTGTTTAATTTTACTAACGCTATAATTTAGGTGATTTACTTCTACTGTAAAGTGATTGTGGAAATTCTGATTGGTTTGTGACATGTTTTCTGTCTACTTGGAGATTTTTCTCAATAAAGCCTAGGAGAACACTTCAGAAAGTAGAGCAGAAAACCTCTGATGATAATTTCCTTCCTGATTTTACAGGGATTTGTAAAAAAAAATGTACAAATATTTGTTGCATTATTCTTAAAGGTCTTGGTAGCTCTGGGCTGTAAGTGTTTCGTTTCAGTCCCATCTTTGTAAGAAGGTTTGGTAGCTTCTAATGTGACAATTCTCATATCTCAATGATGTTTTAAAAAAAATTTATTCCTGGGCTTACAGAAATTACAGCTGATCAATTTGATGATGTGGTGTTATGTCCCACTCTGAAGAGGGGGACAAGTGATTTGTAAATCCCCAGTAGAATGGACAATGGTGAGACAAGTCTCAAAGTCTGTACATAAACATTTATTAATTTCCCACAGTGTACTAACTGGATACATGGTAATTGACTAAGTGTATAACAAGTTATGGCAAGTGATATAATATGCCTTGAGTTACTTAATGCTAACAAGGAAAAGGGGGAAAAAAAAAAAAGAGAGGTAGAGATGGGAATAGAAATTGAGATCATCAGTCTGGGTTCCTATGTTGGTCCTGCCAGTGAGGGTTCAAGGATGTGTCTGTTGTCTTCATTACAGTTATCCTTGCCCCTTCACAATTTAAACGTGCTTTCCTTACGTCCTTTCCCCAGGTTGACTTACATATTGACATACTATATATATGGGGAGAAGTAAGGTGCTTCATGGGATGTTATAACTGGCATAATCACACTAATCTTTATTAGCATATTCAGGGATGTCAACTTTAATATGCCTTTTCACAGATAACAAAGCAAAGGTCATTCACCAAACACATGGCCCTGAAACTTTACAAGATGCACCAGAGCAGAACTGTCCTGTCTATACAGGGCTCCCTCTTCCAGCTGTTTCTTGTGATACCCAGGCGAGTTTCCTCCTGCATTATCCAGACCCCATATTAACCACTCCATGACTATAGTCTCATTTTAGGGTACTTGTGATTATTTGAGACATTCCTTGGAAAGGCTTGGAGGACCTTCCCCCTCATCTTTACCAAGTTTAGTGTCTTGTCATTGTTTATACTTTCCTCGGGCAGCTGCTCTCAGTCCTTGTTTCAGGGAGTTACAAGTTGTTTTCTACATGTGGTGCTGCTACTTTATTTTTTACCATGTTGAAGATCCTGAAGAAGATACTGTGAAGCGGTGCTAGAATTGCTTAATTAGTATGTTCATTATTATAAATTGAGAAGCAACTGTAGATGAATGTGAAAACCTAGATCTGCAAAAATCCTTAAATTAATGAACTGTGATGCCATGTTTAACTTCTAGGCTGCTCTTCCTAGAAAGTATTTCAGAATCCTGAATTAAACTCTGAGGTTCAGCATGCTGTAGATGGGTGAAACTAGATGCTTCATAATGGACTTGGAGCAAACATGTTGAATAGGGAACTGTTAAATCTAGCAAGTAGGCAAGTCTAAAAAGAGGGGAATATTTCAAATTTTTATGCATATTAATGTCACAAATTTACTCAGGATCACTCTTACAAATATGTAATCCCAATTAATATACAATGACTTTATGAGTGACTGAACTAAAATTCTTTCATAAGTCAGCTGTCCTGATCGTCACCAACAATGTTTTCTGAGCTAAAGACCCACTAGTTCATGAAAAAGCAGTAGATGTTATTGCCCAAGACTGAGATTCTCTTGACAATAAAAGAAGAGGCAGAGAAGTTCTTAGAAATTGTGAGAAATAGTGTAGGAGAATTAATCTTGAAATCATATTTATAAAAATGTTTCAGAAACACAAGTTAGTGGCTTAGATTTAATATTTATTACCTATTTGTAGTTATCTTGTTGCAAGTACTCTTGATTTGCTGAATTGATATATGTATTTCATAAGACCTTTTTGAACAATACATGAGAAATTATTTTTTCTGTCTTCGTAATATGACTACAGAGTAGAATGACAATGAACAGTGACTCTTCAGATTTTTTCTGTCTTAATAATTTTTAACAAGTATATCTTCTTGAACTAATAAAATTAAAATGTAGTTAAGCATCAACATTTCCCTTTTTATCTATTCTTCCATTTTTTTTTTGTTTCTTTGCCTGTTATCCAAGAAACATTCTCTTTGCTTCTTAGTGATTTATCATTCAATGTCCATTACTTTTAAAGAGGGCTGGGCTTGGCCTTAAGATATGACAAGTCAAACAAATGTTAGTGGCTGTTTGTTGTGGTTTGGGCTCAGAGGGCAACTGAGTGCCATGAAGCCACTCACTTCCCTCCTTCCCACCCCAGCGCTGTGAAGGAGAAAATAAAGCAAACGGCTCAGGAATGGAGATAAGGAGAAAGAGGGATGACTTCACTGTTACGGTCATGGGCAAAAACCAGGCTTGTTAGGGGAAGGAGGAATTTAATAAGAAATAAATTTTAATTGAAATACTAACAGCAACATGTAACAGAGTAGGACAGTGAGAAGCATTACCACATCTTAAAAACACCTCCCCGCACATCTCCCTTCTTCTCAGGCTCAGCTTTGCTCCCAACATCTCTACCTCCTCTCCCCAGCAGCACAGGGGCCAGCGAATAGGGGTTATGGTCAGTTCTGCTGCTTCTTCCTCCTGAGTGTGGGGAGAGCTTCTGGCATTCCTCCTCTGCTCCAGCGTGGTCCCTCACTGTGATCCTTCAAAAACTTTCTCCAACATGAGTTCCTTCCACAGGTTGCAGTGCTTCCCATGGTGCTCTGGTGTGAGTCACCCCTATGTGTTGCAGTCTTCCCAGTGCTGAACTACAGCAGTGGGGCCTTCTTTTTTTCCCCACAGATTCCTAGCTGTTGGGTGCAGCCACTTGCTCTAGCATGGAGTCTTCCATGGGCTGCAGGTCAGCATCTGCCTTACCGGAGACCTCCATGGGTGACAGGGTGGCAGTGGCCCTGCCCTCTTACCATGGAATACAGGGCAGTCTCTGCTGCAATGCATCTCCTCACAGCTTCCTCTTCCTTTCTTCCAGTGTTCACATGGGTATCCTTGTAACTCCTCCTCACAACTCCGCACCTTTTAAATACATCATCACAGGGGTGCAGCCACTGTCACTAATTGACTTGGCGTTGGTCAGAGGTGGGTCTGACTTGGAGCCGCGGGAGCTTTGGGAAGCTTCTCACAGGGTAACACTGCTGTAGCCCCCTTAACACTTCTCATATGTACTAACTGTTGAGATTGAGTGAATACTTTTTTTTCTCTGATTTAGTGATCTTATTTTGGGAGTTATTTTGTTTAATGTTTTGTACACTAGACCAAGAATCCAGTAAGATTTATGCCACTGTAATATGACTGGTATCGAAGGCAGGTGCATATGTGTTTAAAAAAGCTCAGTTTTCTAATAAATTGCATTAAGAACCAGCCCTGAAGGGCCGTGTGAGTGTCTGTGGGCCTCCTGATGTACGATACTACAAAGTTGGACTCCTTTCCTTGTTCCTTTTCTTAGCTAAGACTAATGACAACAGTGGGAAGAAGTAAAGGATTGAGAAGTAGTTGTTGCCATGGACCCCAAATTAAGACGATGATGAAAACCACCAACTTGTATTGAATGAATTACTGCTTGGTAATTTTAGATTAGTTAAATAGCTATAGCCCTGTTAAACTATGTCATGTCTTATCTTTCCAAAAGACTGAGTTGTCTAGTTTTGCATTTTTGTAATATTGAGAAGTACTTACATGTTTACATGTACAAATGGAAGCATGTGGCTGCATATTATCATAAAAATGTAGTAACATGTACTTTTGAAAGAGTATTTAAGAAGAATGCTGGTTCAGTCAAAGATGGGTAAGGCAAAGAAAAGTTTCTGGGTTGGGCTTTTTTTTAGACAGAAACATTGTTCAAGTTTTACTTCATGAAGTTGTGTTTTTAATGACATATAGTACAGTATTTAATGCTATATATAGCATTTGTCTCTGCTGGGGTGTGAAAGATGCAAACATAGTTTAGATTACTGTGTATACACTGGTGCGTAAATAATACAGAGTGGAGAACAGGCACAGACGCTTCGAAGTACAAATTGAGAGAAACAAAATCATTTTTTGTAAGACAGTGAAATTCTGGTTAAAACTGCAAACATTGAGCAGAGTCAAGCTGAAAGTCCCTTTTTAAATACTACTTTTTTGAGTGGGTTGTTAGTAGACATGGGTTTTGCTACAGTTCAGCTTACAGCACTGACTTCTGTGGTAGAAGGGGTCTTGTCCCTGTGCAACAGTTTCAGCTGTAATAGAGTAAAATTGTGTGTGTAGGTAGGAGGATGTTTATTTGTTGTGCAAAATGAGGGACCTAGGGTCCTTCACTTGTTTTTCTGAGTGAGTTGTCAGGGGAGATGAATGAAACCTATGTTCACAGTTCTCCTTTGCTTTCACAGAAAGGAAAAAACTGTATGTTGACTTAGCTTGAAAATGTGGATTTAGACTACGTTGTACAGCTGAATATGAATTGCTCCTTTTTTGAACCATATATTTTATAGAGAAGAATCAATCCAATGCTGTTGCAACATTAAACTCAAATGAAAGCCTATTATATCACATACTGAAGCAGTTAAATAATAAAGCCTAATTAATACATACAGTTTATTTATGAAATGCAGTAAATATGTGAACAGCAGTGTTCAGAAAAGCTGAATTAAATTACAGCTTTTCAATGATCTTCAATTTTTTAACTGTAATAAACATTAAAAATAGCATGAGGTTAATTCCAGTTCTTTCATATTGTTCTTGACGTTGCAGATAGCATATGGAATCTTTAGAAAGTAATTTGTTGTAAGAACGATTCCAAGATATGTGCAATTCTTCAATTTAAAGAAAGTGTACTCCTTAAATAATTTTTTAACTCTAATTGTAATGATTTTACAAAGACAAGCAACACTTTTATTCCACAGTATTAGCTATAGTAAAAAATAGAGATGTTTAATGCTCATATTTTTCTGTTGAACTCTTGTATCTTGTGAAGCATGGCAAAATTTGAAGAAATTAAACCTGTATATATTAGACTTAGGTGTTTTCATTTTGAAAATGAAGGCACATGTGTTTGTTTTAATTGAAATGGTGTAATCATACGAAATATTGCCAACATGTGTGATTTTAAATAGTGAATGTAACATTCTTGAACTACATGTGATAATGTTTAAAGTAGAAAGAAGCTAAATTTTTTTTCAGAAAAAATCTTGTGTGTTTTTTCCTCAGGAATTACTGTTTTATCCTGTATGATTTTTCAGTCTTTAATCTTCTTGGCTTCTGTTTTTTTAGATATTTATCACATGTGGTTCATGATTTTGGTAGCAATTATGTCTTTTAACCATTTGTTCCTTTTCTTTCTGTGAATTTTAGGTATGCTGTTCCTCCAGAGCATGGGAGACGGCTTGAAAGACTAGCTCAAGGTAATATTTTCAGTATTTCCATACGTAAGATGTCTGAAGGACAAGCCTCCAGTGAAGTGAAAAACACTGTCCTTGACTCACTTACTTTTTTTATTACTTAATGTTGTGTCTTTTATCTGTCCATGATATGACTGCAAATAAGGCACAGTTCTAGTACTCTAGAGAATTCTTAAGAAACAAATTAATTTTTTTTTCCTCTCAGAACTTTCTTTTGTACTGGCATTTTTAGCTTGGTGAAGCTTATGAAAATGAGGCTTAGTATTTTGTTGTTCATTGGATTTTCATTGCTACTATCTTTGTCTCCTCTGTGCCCTTGTTTTTTTTGTCATAGCTTCTTTTCATAAGTACCTTTTGAATTTTTACTTCTTAGCCAAATCTGATACAAAGATAGGAATACTGAAGACATACAAGTTTCCAGAAGTTTCATGAAAGTTAATGCCTGCCTAGAGGATGGAAACCTGGTTGGTACCTCTAGGAAGGGGGAAGCAGACAAAATGTACCAATGCTAGATCTTATTTGGTAGTGGCCTGCAGGCATATAAATCCACTTTAGCCAAAGCATGTTCTGGCTTTTGCCTTCCAGAGGCATGTGGAACATCTGTTGAAGAGCAAATGATATTGGTTTAAGGTTGATATCTAAGGGTTAAATCCACTAGTCTGTAGGAAAATTCTTCTCACATAGTAATTTGTTTTCAGTGACACTACACCTTTCTTTTTGTTTCTAGATTAAGAGAGCAGTTTGTGAACACGGGAATAAGTTAGGAATGTTTTTTGGCCTGGCAGCCCCTGTTTTATAGCCTGCTATTAACCATATTGTATAAGGAATGCTATTGAAAGTTCATAATTAAAGATCATGTATCAGGACCAGATTCTGAAATTTTTTTTCTACATTTTGTTTTCATATCTATTTTATGTGCATGTAGGTGCATGACTTTTTCTGACTATTTTTAAACTATTGCTAAGAACAGTAAGATGACATGTATCATTGAGATGTGAAAGTAAAGATCTGTGAACTTGCAGTCTTAAAAACATGTCTCAGAAGGACAGATTTCAACCTGGATAACTACATTTACTATTCCTAAATTTTTCCATAGTTTCAGTCAAGAAAGTTGTCACTCATTTTTTTGCTTTCCAAATTATTTTTCCAACTTGAAAAGTGTAGAACTCTTCATATGCATACCTTGAAGCTTTTGGTTTTCACCAGTGAACAAATTGATACATGTTGTAAACTGTGCAAGTGGCACTGATTAGGATCATTAAGTAATTATTTTTAAGATTTATAGTAAATGGGCAAGGAATAGAAGGAAGATAGAATTGAAAAAGGTTCAGAGAGGAACACTAGGATTGGTGAAAAATTGGCATTTTTGTTTTGTAAGTAAGTAAGCTCTTAGTTTGCAATCTGAAAGAATGTCAAATAAAGGTAAGGGGGTATGATGAAGACCTGTGATGACTGGCATGGAAAAGAGGACTAAAGAGGGAGTGTTCACTCGGTCTTCCAGTACAGCTAGAGACTCTGACTGAAGAGTCTTAGCAAAGTTCAAAACAATCCAAAGGAGATGATTCCTTTTACAGCATGAACTCCAAGATCTTTGGGTAGATAGACTCTTCATTTGATGTGCTCTGGTGTTTATTATAGATGTCATATTGATTGATTATATCTGTGCAGTGTTTTAAAACTATTCAGGTTCAGACGTTCTCTTTTTGAGTGAGGGAAGAGAATGGGCAGTTTCAGCAACAATTGTTCACTGGTTTCTAAAAATTAAGTGGCATTGAGGCATGGCAGTGTTTGCTGTAGGCTAAAAACAAACTTAAGTTTTTTTCTTTGACATACCCTAATTTCCCCAGATATTGGAGTAACCTATAGAAATCCATGAAGCAGGTAACTCTGGAGATACATGCTTTGCTGCATGGAGCATTTGAAGTCACTTGGTATAAACTTACATAGTTTAAGAAAGTATTGTGTTAGAGAACTGTGGCCTGAAGGTGCTTAGGCCTCTTATTGCTGATAATGGTGGCCTAATACAGTAAGAGGAATGGGACATTAAGTATGAGAGAAGTGGAAATCTCCAAAATCACTGTTTGTGAGAAGCTGGTAGGTTATACTGAGGGAACAGTGTCTTTAATGTCTGAATACCAGAATCGGACAGGAAGTTAAATGGGACTTATGACTTCAGTCTCATGCAGCGTAACAGTTCTTAGGTCCAGAACTGCTGGAAGAAAGTAAACCAGAAAGACTTCAGGTGCACTGGCACATGTGCAAGTGCTTTTCTACAGCTGGAACAGGAACACAGTTCCTTGATCCTTACTGCTTGCTATATTTAAAGGACTTGCCCTGGGAAGTAACTCAGCCTTGATCTGTGCACATCTGCATAGAAGTAAGTTGTCTACTACTGCTATCTCCATGTATGAGTACAAGTTATAAAGATCTGTGTGGTGAATGAAAAACTGCTTTCCTTGATGAATCTTGTGTATGATAAAAATTATTTTTATTTCAGAACTGTGTTTGGAATAGTAATTAGCAAACAAAACATGAATCAGGTACTAAACAATGAAGGTAAAATTTCAAATAGTTGTTTATTCCATTATATTCAGTGAATGAAACTGGATTTCTGTAGAAAAACTATATCCTAATACAGAGATTGTTATTGTAACAGCAATATAAGACAGGTGAATTAGTTTCACAGACAACCCTCTCTGATACTTCCTAACTTTTTAGTATTTGACTTTAATGTCTTCTGCAATTTTTTTCTGTGAGTAGGTTGTTTTCATTATATTTTTGGTCCTTAGAATGGAGTGTAGAAGATGATGCTGTAGTTCTTAAGAATAATCCTCTTAAGTCATCTTCTACTTTGTGACTGCTGCCTGCTAATATAGTCTGAGTTTTATAGTAAGTATTTTAAAAAGATGAAAATGTAAAGTAAGCTGCATGGCTGCAAGTCACTTAATAGTTAACATTAATAAAACATGTAAATGATACCTTTATACTTAATCATATGTGTATTGAAAATACTTTAATGATATTTTTGCATGAGTGCAACAACTAAAGAAAAAAATCTGTCTATTCAGGAAGGTTAGCTCTGATGATCAGATGCCTACCAAATTAATTGAATGCTCCTAAATAATTAAAATAATAAAATAATGCAATAAATGTGACATGTTGTCTAAGTCAGGGCAGCAGTTGATACATAGAATTAAAGGAATTTCCATTATCTTGTCTGCACATCACAGCTATCACATATGCCTTTTGTGCAGGAACGCTTGACTGTGGCACCTACAAATACTTTATTTGAAATACATTAGACTTGCATATAATAAAGACAACAGTTTGATTTTGCCCTTCAGCTGCTTTCTCATTTATGTAGGGTTTTTTTCAATTTTATGTAGACATAAATGTAATAAAAATATCTCAAGTGAGCTCTTAACTGCAATTTTTATACTTGTTGTTATGTTAATCTGTAATACCATGGTATTGTTAAGGATTTTTTGTTTCACAAAATGGGTGAGAAAATAAAGAGAATAGAAGCAGAATGGCAAATCATAAATGGCAATTTGAAGGATTTTAAAATCTTTTAATAGATCATTTAATTGCAGAAACTGTTTTAGAGACAAGATGTTATCTGTGGTCTTCAATTATGTTAAGAAACTAAAGTTTAATATATTGTAAGTATGAGGGGTGTTATAAAAAGCTTTGTGTGTTGTATAGTATTAATTAATTCATTTCATGCAGAATTCATTACATGTTATATATGAAAACAAATATAGTTGTTGAAATGAGACATGAAGTAGAACTTGCATAAATTCTGAGGGTTTCAAATCTGAAAACTTGAGCAGCTGAAAAATTGAACTTTGTCTGAATTGATAGTTATATCAGCCAAGTTAGTAAAGTTGCATCTAAGAGATAATAAACTTGAGGCTGTAATGTATTCATCTGGGCATAACAACACTCATATTTCACAACACTTGCTTCTTTTGTGGCTTTTGTGCTCTGTGCTTTGTATAGCATACAAATTGCCACTGCTTCTTTGTGAGGATTGTTATCATGGAAACTCATCCTCCTAATTTCTTTTATGTGCAATACAGAAAGTTAAATCAAATGACTTTTAAGTCACTGCAAATTAATTTAAATAAATTATATGAAGTTTGTATTTATACCTATCAAAGTAAAATCTAAAAATAAAATTATTAGAAAACTCGGTCCTCCTTTATTCTGTGTTCCAAGAGTACCGATCAGTGAATTACGATTAATATTTTGTGTTTTAAGTCCTTTAAGTGAAGAACTACATCAGTAAAAAATTACAATAACTTTGAGCTTAATTGCGTTCATTTGGATTATTTTTAATTACATTAAAGTTAAATTACATTAAAGATACTTGCAGTTTATGGTGTTCTCTCTCTTATGTTTTAAGTTTTATATTTTTATATATTTTCAATTAATATTAATAAACTAAAACCACAGCACCTTTACTGTAAAATTTCAGGTGAAGACTTGAGTATGGGAGTGTAGAAAAAGATAGGAAGCCTAGCCTCATTCATTGACTGGTCAGAATGTGATCTTAAAATTCCCTAAGAACATGATTTTATCTGTGTATGCTTAAATAATTACTTTATTATTGGCCAAAATGTGATTATACAATATATAGCCAATTGCCCTGTTCAAGTCAATGGAGTTGTAGAATTACTCTTTCAGGAACAATATTGTAATTTGTCCATATATGGTTGTAGCTGAACAGTTAATTGAGAACAGTATGGAGACAGTACTATAGGTAAGCATTCCAGATACCTTGAAAATGGTAATCAGCTGGGGAATGGAATGCAGTCCACTTCAGTTTGCATAAATAATAGTCATGATGTAGTCATCTGATGAGAGCCATGAGTGATACGTGGGAATGATACTCTCGGGGTGAAAAAATAAAAAGTGCCTTCCAGATAGCAATGCTCACTGTCCCTCAGTAATTTATGGAGTTGAACTTATTTTAAAATGTTCTTTATCCCTGAACCATTTAATGTACAATTGAAAGACTATTAGTGCAGTAGTGTCCTGTGTGTGGGAATTGTGTCTTCCTCAGATACAGCAAGGAATTTGCTTAGTGCCCACTGTTCCCAGCTTCCCCACAAGATGAGAAGGCTTTGACTTTTATCTAGAGTAAGGAACATAAACCCAGAAATTGTTTGGAAGTGTTATTGTCTGTTGAGGTGGAATAGCATTGACAAAGGGTGTGTCTTCACCAGCCCAATGGTAAGACTGTAACTCAATAAGTAGTTTTATTTTGGTAGTATAAATAGCATTGTGTAAGATTATCTTATTTTGGGCCATGTTATCTGTGAGAATATGTATGTACAGGCTTCTGAGAGCATGTTTTTGATAACAGTCTGAAGCCTATATTTTCACATATTCTTTATTATTGTTGCTTGTGTTAACTAGATAAGGTTTTAAAAGTCTGAGTGGGACTTCAGTTAGGTGGATAAATGCAGTCTACCTGTAGGTTGTGCTCATACCCACACATTTGGCCACCAAGTGCTGAATCACATACTTACCTTGTAGACTGTTCTAATTCTGCTCAAGGTGTTGAGAATGTAACGTGTTTCTTTAAATTATGGATTGCAGAATTTTCGACTGGACAGTCTTTTTCGCATGGACATAGATCAATGAGCAACCTAATTCTGTTTTAACCTGATCTTTGATTATTTCTCATTGTCTCCTATGAAGTAGTTGTTTTGAATTTTGTGTATCACTTCCAAGAAGCAGGGTACAGATGGCTAAATATAAATGTTGAGAAGAGATATAGAAGAGGTCTGCCGCTCTCAAGAGCGTTTGAGAAACTAGGCTTGCATGGAAATTCACACAAAATACTTGCTTTTGTAGAACTGATGTAGAGTTAATGGATTAGTGTTAATGGATTACATGAAGATTTCATGTGCCTCATAAAAGCATGGATGTACTATAGAACCTGAATGTTACATTTTAAATAGATTTCAGTATTTTTTTTGTTTTGGATGTGGGATTTCACTAGATATCCAGGATTAACTGGTAGTCCTGTAAATTGGTAATTTTAATATCAGCTTGGTATTTGAGAACGGTTCTGGTGTGTTGCAGGCAGGTCTTGAATTGGTCTGAATTTAATGTATTTCTAAGGGTCTTGTGATTTTTCTAATGCAGTGTCCTCTCTTCATTGTGCTAGTAGGTATTTTTTACATCTGCTAACCAATTTTCTCACAGGAATTTTCTTTCCTGAAAGAAAAGCTTATGTGACCTTACCTTTAGCCTGGACAGAGCAAAAGACTTTCTGATAAACAGAGTCTCATAATGAGGAAATGTTACCTTCCTTTCTTCCCTTGTTCATTGAAGGGGAGTAGTTTTGAGAAAATGAGGTGAAAGAGACTATAAAATTTGAGTGTGTTTAAGTGTAGACTTTGACAGAGTCAAAGATACTTCATAGTGGTACAGAATGTGTAGGCTGTGCTTTGATTTCACTGTGAGGGCTCTGTAACCACAGCAAATGTTCTCCTGTAAATTTCTCTCAGTGGGTTTTGAGCAGGTTGTGTTCTGCTGTTCTGTGTTGTTTGCAGCTTTCTTAGAATTCAGAAACAAGCTTGCCTTCTGGCTGGAGTTGTCATAACTATTTCTGATCTCTTGGAGAGACAAATTAAGTTTTGGCAATCTGCCCATCATGTGCTTTTTGTCATCATTTATTTAACTAATTAAGCATATTGCAGTAGCAGAATTTGGTACAAAATTTGTTTTCTTAGTAAAAACAACTCAGTCAAACTTTCTCTGCTTTTAGAAATTAAAGTTTTGGCTACTTTTCATATCAGTTATTTCCTCAGTCTCAAATACCACTTTCAACCACATTTTTCACAGTATGTTCCAGTGTATTTCCATTACTATGCTGCTCTGGACTGAGAGCTCTTGAAGCTCATAAGATGTAGATTCCAAGTTATGAGTGTTATCATTATGCTGTAGGCATTAATTGTGCCAAAATAGTTGACATTTATTTGCTGGAGTCCACCAGTTGTGGCCTAGTTTCTTTAAATTGTCTTTTAGTCAGGGAAGCCCAACATGTATGATAAAACTGTACCTGCCAGGTACTACTTTTTGAAACATACATTATAACTTTATTTGCCATTCCAAAAGAGAGTAAAGACTTCTGTGTCTGTTGGTGAGGAGAAGAAAGAATGATAAATCTGTATAAAATTTGATCTCAGGTCATCATAACAGAATTCCAAGTGCATTGATCAACATGAGTGTACAGTACACCTTTGCTGTTTAAGAGCTGCTTAACCTTGTATCTGAGAAATTAGAAAGAATTTGTTCTTCCAGGACTGTGGTGTGTGCTAGAAAAGAGTGTAAAAAGAATATAACAATTGTAATGTGATCACCTTACAGTTGTTCTGGAATTGTAGAGTAGTTAATGGACATAAATGTAAGACTCATCAGAAAGAAGAAATTAAATCTGATATTACATTACATATTATGGCAAATTGTTGAGATTTAATCTTTTTTTTCCTCAAGTAATTAAAAATATTTAGACAATTGACTGAAAGTGATTTTTTTTTAAAAAAATTTTAGTTATTGAGTAGTTAGCTTGTTCCTCCAAGAATGGATCTGCTTCTGTGAATGACAAACTAACATTTACATGATAGCGATACAATAACTTGTGTAAAACCAGTAAAGAGATGACAGAAATCTTTTTTTTTTTTTCTCCTTAAATACTGTTTGCTTCACTAATTTCTGATCAGTGTTTCTCAGGTAGTTCTCCTATGTAACAGGATAGGATTATGTATGTTTTTCTTACACCCAGGAAAAAAGTAATCATTTTTAGATGGCTTTAGATTCGGATTTTCTTATCATATGAATTTTACCTAGGCTCGTGATACAAATGGAAATAACTTTGGAGAATGCTTTTTCACCCAATGTCATTATCATACACTTTTTTTTTTTTTTTTGTTACAGCAGAGTCAAGCGAAGTCATACTGCACAAGTTTAAAAACTTAGAATTCATCTTTTCCTTCTATATGTTTTAAGAGAGGGCTGTGATGGAACTACATACCTAGGAGTGAGATCTTACTCCTAGAGTCAAAGATAACAAGCCAGCACTTCTTGTTTAAACTTCTTGTTTGCTTGGTATTTTTCCTATAGAACTGTTAGAGATAGTGAGCTCCTTTATGCCTCACTTCTGTTTTCTGAAAATTAAGTAATTTTAAAAACGATTACTTTTTTAATAACATTTTTTAAGCAGTAGCCTGCCCATCTTTGTGAAATATATGAAATCACTGGAGAATAAATGACATAAAATACAGTAAACTGTTCATGTTAAGAAGTCTCGGTAACATTGAAAAAAAATAGAGAAGAAAGAAAAGGAAGTGAGTAAAGTTGAGCTTCAGAGAAAGGGATTCCTTTCAAATGTTCTTGATACAGTAAAATCATTTATTATCTAGGACTGCTAAATGTATGGTTGCAGTTACTCATAGTACATCTCATGGTGATTCTTGCTAATCGTCTGGTGCAAACACTAAAAAGACTGAAGATAAATAGCAATAATTATTTCTATAATAATAACAACAAATAAAGACTTTCTCACTTTGATTAGGGAATGAATTGTTTCTCTTTGTCAGCCTAGTTCTGATGCTAGTGCTGTAACTTTGTGAGTTGTCTGTGATGTTGCATTATAGTAGCCAAAAGTATTCCTCTTGGCTTCAGCAAGAGACACATGTTCATCTCAGAGCAAGTAATACACCTGTACTTAACTGGAAGAGGGTTTGAGAGCAAGTATTTGGAGAAAGAAGTAGGTGGTTAGACAGCTCTTGCTATAGTCCTTCTATTTTTCAGTCTGACGTTTTCAGAAGCCTCTTGCTTTCATTAACTACTATGCCTTTCTCTTCTGTTGTTTTATTGTTTGTAGGAATTGTGTTTTTAGTTTTTGAGGGTATTACCTTCTTTCTAGAATGGAGTTGGAAATGAGGTCAGGAAAGACTAAACTGGCCACATTCTGGAAACTTCTCCCTCTTTCTCCTCATCTTCTCCCATTTTCCTTGTAGTGTAGTGGTTTCCTACTGTAATATAGTTAGGTTGAAGGGAAAAGAACTTGGATGTTTTTATTTTAGAGGAGGAGAGATTGGGTAGCCTATCTGAACTGTAGCTGAGGTGCTGTTCGCATCCATGTTAGATGGTCAGATGCCAGAATTTAATGACACTTGAACCTTGTTTTTAATTTTTCACTTTCCCCCTCATTTGTCTCCATGTTCTCATTAACTAGATTATATTATTTAATGAACTAAACATGGTTTGTGGAGTGGTACGTAAATAATCACGAAAGTTGAAAGATGGAAAGCGATCTTTGTTCATAGAAATCAAGACAAGATTTAAAGGGGCAAGAAAACCTCACATGTTCTCAGTTGTGCCAGACATCTCTTAGCCATGCTTTCTGGTCTTTTCTAGATAGAAGGTTGTGTTTATTAACTGTATAGATGGTCTGAAAGGGCTAAATAAACCTAGTCCTTGTGGAGTCCTTTTAAGTTTATATTCTATAGTTGATTTTCATTTGTGCAGGGGTTGCAAAATGAACTTTAAAGTCAAAAAAAACAACAACCCAACAATAAAACTTTTCTGTAAAGGGTAAGAAAAGTGTGCCTGAATTTACAGGTCCAAATTTATTTTATTTCACTTAACAAAGAACAAACAAAAAAGTCCCAAACCCCTGCAACCCCTCTCCCTGAAAGTCAGTTGAAAAACTTAGGAGGTGCACTTGATTTTTATACAAATCTCTCAGAACCTAGCAATGACATGATAAAAAAGTCTAAAACAAATTTAAACAGTATAATATATTGTAAAATACCACAAAGTTTTCCTCCTTGTTTTAATTAAAAGATAACAATTTTTTCTTGTCTTGCCTTAGGGTTCTTCCCAAGCAGCTGTCAAGAATGTGATGCTTTTCTTCGCCACAAAATGATTCTGATTTCTCCATCAATATTGAAAAAGTATGGAATTCCTTTTGACAAGGTATGTTTGTGTTATTTTTAAACTGTGCATTCATGCACTGAATTAGACTCTGTCTACTATAAGAACCGTTCATAGTAAACTGTAGCAAAATTATTATTTTCTTTTTAGGCACTGACTCCATGAAAAGATCAACATAAATGCTTGTAGTATTAGGACTTTTACATGGTCTAGCTTGGAATTTTCTATCAAAAAATACTTGTAGCCATCATAATCTTTATGCTAAAAGTTTCTCTGATTTTTAAGGCTTCACCAATATATTTTTTTTCTATTTTATTTCCATGCAAACTTGCATGTTGATTTTTCTGTTGACTGAAACACTTCTTAACTAGCTGTTTTATTTGTGTACCTAACATTTTAAAAGAAATGTTTAATTTCTGTGTCTGTATATTGTTTTTCTGATGATAAAGTTAAATGTAACTTTATCAATAATATGATCTAAAAAATTTCAGGTGGAATAAAACCAAAAGAACTGTTACTTAATTTAGAATATATTTTAAAAGTTGAAACATATTAGAAAAAGAGGGAATGATTATTTTGTGCTGCTAGGTGGTGGCAGATGACAACTGATAAGAACATTATAAACAGAAAGTGGGAAGAATAACTGGTTTTCTTCTTTGTGGATGAATTTAATACATAGTTGAGTTCAGAAAATCTGAAGTATTCAGCTGCTTCTTCTTTCCTACAAGATTTTGTACCTTCTTGTTTTCCACTTTGACTTCTTATAGGTGCCAGCTAATAAAAACGTTTCTACTGCATTGTTTTTCTTTAAGTATGTTTATTCTGTATCTTCAATGTTTTGCAAATTCTGATGTTCTAAATTCAGAAACTTTGTAAGCCTGTTTAGAAGGTAGAGCTTGATTCAGAAGGTCCCCTGCCTGAACATCTGTTTAGGTTATACTTAAAAGACTTTTGATCATTAACAGGTTATGATTCTTGATTTCCTGCTGCTCAGACTGTTTTAAAGTGTTCAGAAAAACCAGGCAGTATATACTTTTTCTACTGTATTTCTGCTGCACTATAGTCCTGTAGACTGTTCTCGCCATTCCTTGTTTGCTATTCTGGTTTCTATTTAAGTGTATGTGGCGTTTTATTGATATCATGTGGACCTGTTTGTACAAACTTAGTTTATCATTTTCCCTGGCATAGATTATAGGATAATGCAGTGCCTTCTATCTGTTTTAGTTGACATTTTTGTACCAGTATGAAATGTAGCTCAATATTTAAGTGATTGTTTTCATGTATAGTATTGTCATGGTTTAACTCTAGTAGGCATCTAAGTACCACACAGTCACTTGCTCACTGCTCTCCAGTGGGACTGGGAAGAGAGAGAGAACGATAAAAGTGAGGAAACTTGTAGTTTGAGATAAAGATAGTTTTACATATAAAGCAAAAGCTACACATGCAAGCAAAGCAAAACAAGGAATTAATTCACCACTTTCCATCAGCAGGCAGTTGTTCAGCCATCTCCATCAGAGCAGGGCTCCGTCACACATAAACAGTTTACTTAGGAAGACAAATGCCATCACTCCTCTTTCTTCCCCCAGCTTCTGTTGCAAAGCACGACATGTATGATCTGGGATATCCCCTTTGGTCAGTTGGGATCAGCTGTTCCATCCATGTCCCCTCCCAGCTTGTGCACCCACAGGTTGCTCGCTGTCAGGGTGATATAAGAAGCAAAAAAAAGGCCTTGACGCTGTGTAAGAACTGCTTGGGAGTAAGAAAAAGATCCCTATATTATCAACACTGGGGTAATCGGCACAGGTGTGTTGAAGCCACTGATTTGTTGCATGCGTTTTGGAATATCACTTCATTTTTCATGTTTAAATCAATCTGTGTATAAAATTGAAGAAATGTAGGTGTTTAGAGTGATACTGCCTGCCTTGGAAAGCAAGCTTTTTTGAATAAATTATTTGTATAAGAAGTAGTTTGTTTTCTGAATGATATATTATCATATGGAAATGTAGTTGGTGAGCTCAGTTTTTGTAATATATAGGTAAATATTGGTTCCCTTCATAGCCTCGTGCTTTATCATGAAGTGTCAGATGAAACCTTCCAGACTGGAAGGTTTTATAACCAGATTTATAGTTTTGGATTTACAGAACATTACTCTGAACAGAATAATTTTCAGTGGTTGCTGTGTAAAGTAGCATATTGCAGAATGCCAGCATATTTATTTTCAGTACCACACATTTGAGATGGATAAGGGAGTTGATGTTCTTATTTCAGTGTCTTGATTATTCCTGTATTCTAATTAAAAAAAAAAAAAAAAAAAAGCTAGAAATAGTTAAATATTTAAGTTTGGTTCTGTCACCTAGTCTTGGGAGGAAGCAGACTGTACCCAAGTGTAATTGTAATTAATGGGATTCAGTGAGAAAGTGAATAGAGAGAACCAGACTGTGATGTCTCATGGCTCAAAGTGATAGAAGTGGAAATGTGCTGAATGCTGATAAGTCAGCCTACGCCTACCAGGTGGCAGCTGAACTGCTGCTTGTTGCAATAGAACACCTGCTAAACTGTCAGCACTGGGAGGGTGTATTGAGATAAATTTTGGAATTGTTAGCATTGAGAATAATCTTTCTTAAACATTCCTGCAGCGATTGTTGGAGTGCTACAGTAGCAGTTATAATATATGCACCTGTATGTGCATTTGCATGTATATACTAAATATGAACCCATAAAAAATTAACCTTGCAGAGTACAAATGCAAAACATCCTATTTTATTCTTTAGCTTTGCTAGCTAAGTATATTTTTCTTGTTTTCTTCTTTTTCCTTCATCCCATAATACACTTGGAAATACACATCTTGAAGTGCTATCTCTGTGTATTTATTCTTGCATTGAGCAAAAAAAAAAATCACACAAAGAATTCATGAAACTATGAGGTGAGAATTTTGAAGGAGAAGAAAGGAGGGATTCTAAAAGCAGAAATTGAATGCAAGATAACTACGCTAGAAAAAAACCCCGAAATTTAAGACATGACATTAATAAGAAAAAAATGCTTGGAGTTGTGACTTTTAATTTTGGTGATTGTTTGAAATTTAACTCCCTTTTCAAATCATAAGTGTATTTCCCTAAAAAGAGTCATATTTGTTTTTCCAATTTTTATTACTGTATTGCTTATATGAAGCATTGCCACACAATGAAAACAGCCTGTTTAATCTCTAGGAAGTCTCCTTATTTTCCTGTAATCAGCAAATACATCTTGTTGCACAATCATCAGTCATTGCTCAGATTATTTACTTAATTTAAATTGATCTGTTTGCTTTTTAGTGGGCCTGCTGTCTGATGTGTGTTTAACATAAAATGGTGTATCAGAGTATGGGGAATCTCTTTTAATTCTTTACTTGTGAATCTTCTAGTTTATTGATTAACTCATCAGATAGTTCAGAAGACAGTGTGCCATCTCTTGTATGACTATTCTGTCTTTGATACAGTAGTTTGATACAGTTTAAGATATTAAAGCTGTCCTTGAGTGGAGTGAATATTTGTGGCTGACAAGAAGTGCTGTCTCTCCTTTTCTTCAATATCCAGAGGAGAGCAGCAGTCCATCCAAGTGATTTGTTTACCTTACCCCACATTTTGCAATTTACTCTAGAAGCCTTTTATATATGAAATGTCTTTTATAACTATTAGGAATTTGGTTTCTTTTTGGCTATACAAAATATAATTTTGGGTTTTTTTAGTATTTTGTTTTAATTTTGTGGGGGGTTTTAGGTTTTTTGTTTTGTTTTTATTTTTTCCTGCTTTCTATAATTTCTTGTTGAGTCAGTGGCCTCAGCACACTTCTTCTGTGTGTTTTTTTTTTTTTTTTTTTTTTTTTTTTTTTTTTTTTTTTTTTGTTTTGTTTTTTGTTTTTGTGGTGTGGGTTTTTTTTTTTTTTTTTCCCCCACTGTACTTGTAAAGAACAGAGCAGTCCTTTGGAACTAGCCTTGCACATTCTCTAAAGCAGTGCCAGAGTTTAACTGTAGTCGAGCTTTTCCTCTTTGAGAATCTCCTTCTAGGCCACTTGTCCTTTAGGTATTTGGCATTCTCTTTGTCAGTAGTACCAGAGTCCTTCTGCACTCTTAAATTGTGCTTAAAGAGAAAGAAAGGAAGGACAAGGGCATATTAAAATTTGTTTTATTGTAATGTGGTGTTTTAATGGCTTTGCATGGAGACATTCTGCATGACATTTCCAATGCAAGAATCCCCTTGGTGTTAGTAGCTGTTGTCACAGATAGTGATGCACTTCAGCTGTAACAGAGAAGCAGCAATATACTCTATTAAGGATGAGTTAACAAAGTTCAGTGGTAAATGTGACAGTGGTTTAACAAGATTCGATGGCAAGATACACTTGGTTACTGCATAGAGGACAGGGTCAGACAAAGCTGTCAGGGATACCCTTCTGTTGAGTCATGAGGTTCAGAGAGGGCCCCCTTGCATTCTGAACTTCTTTTTAGAGAGGAGTCTAGGTGTGGCTGGATCCAGACTTAGTTCCAGACTTGGTCAATGTTTTATGTCTAAAGGATTATATATGTGTAATCAATCCTTTATATCACTTAGCTAAGATTTCAAAGATTCAGCACTTACTTCCAGTTCATTTATCAAGTATCTGATGCAATCCCCTGTTCAAAGGGAGATCCTGGTGTGCAGCCTGCTGCTGTGCAGGAGAGTTCAGTGGGCCCTGGGCTGTCTATTATTTATGGAGTAGGAAGTTTGACTTATATTTGCATACCAGCAGGACATCTGGGTCACTGTGGAAGACAGACCTTGGCTACTGTGTTGCCATCGTCCCGCTCAGACGAGGGGGACAAGTGACTCAAGATTCTCAAATCCCCAATTGGAGCTGACAACAAGTCTCCAAGTTCAAGCATTTATTAACTACCTACAACATACTAATTGAACACATGATAATTGGCTAAATACAGAGCAAGTTGTGGCAAGCAATATAATATGCTTTGCATTTCTTAATAGAGAAAGGAAAAGAGGGAGATAGAGGGAATGGGGGAATACAGATCACCGGTCTGAGTTCCTGTGCTGACCCCTCCGGCGAGGGTTCCAGGAGATGGCTGTCTTTTTTGCTGGCATCCATCTTCTTCGCTTCACTGCTCTCTCCAGATGGCTGGGGGAGGGCAGGGGGAGGGGGTCAGAGAGAGAGAGAGAGAGAGGCCTTTCTTCCCCCCTTTGATTTATACCCACTTTCCTTGGGTCCGTCCCCTAGGTCGACCCACATAGCTACGTTTCCCATGTACGGGGAGGGGTAAGGTGTTTCATGGGATGATGTAATTAGCATGATCATGACAGCCCTCGTTAGCATATTGAGGGGTGTTAAATTTAATACGCATTTTGTGGATAATGAAGCAGAGGTCATTCACCAGACACATGGCCCTTGAAATCTGCCCAGGTGCCCCAGAGGAGAGCCGTCCTGTCTCCACAGGGCTCTCTCCCCAAGCTACATGGGGCAGCATTACCAGCTTTGACCTCCACAGAAAGCACCCTGCGACTCAGAGTTTTGTCTTGAGAGTGTTTGAGGCATTTCTTCAATCAGTCTCAACTTTCGCTTTCCCAGGTTGTTTGTCTTAGTTTCTCACAGGCCTGGTTTCTCATCTCTGACACACCTGTCTCCCTGAAGTCCAGTGTAAGCTGGATGCAGCCATCACAACACCCATTGGTGGTTACAGCTTAAGTGAAGGCAGGGGGGGAAGCACACTGCCACAGCTGTAAGGCTGAAGAACTGGTGCAGGGCAATTGTTATTAATTCTTCTTCCTCGTTTCCTATCCTAACTAATTTAAAGATACTGCCTGAGGGGATTCAAATGTATCCAGTTGTGTTCCTTTGGGATGAACAACAATGCTTTAACTTCTAAGGCTCATTAACTGCTACTTTCTCCTACTTTATGCTTGATCATCAGTACTAAGTAACTTAAGGCAAATCAAGCTGTCAGTCACAGGTCTTCAAATCATAGTGAGACGGTATGGGAGAGAATGGTGAGAATAGGATCTCTCTACAGTCTTTCCAAGAGAACTTCTGGTGCCATTCTAGAGAAACATTTTCAGGGTGCTGAACAGAATAATTTCTTCAACAGTTAAGTTGTACTAGTGTTTAGGGATGATAGCTGTGGGTACTTTTGTCTGGCCTATCTCTGCTTTTTTTTCAGTCACGAAGACTGATACATTCTTTGCACTGTTTTTTCTAGTTCACTGAACTTCCAGGTTTTATAACCAGTGAACCTCTGCTCCAGGTTTAGCTTTTTTGCAAGTACTTTCTGGATTTGTAAAGTAATATATGTAGCTATGTACATTACTCAAGTATATTATTTCTTCTTGTATTTAATCACAACTGTGTGCAAGGTGAAAAAAATTATTTCTACGTAGTTACAAAGGCAAATACGGTTTTCATTGCTTCAGAGCAGAACTGCTTTTGTAATGTGGTTCACTCGAGGTTTTTTTTGTTTTGTTTTTATGCTATAGGTTACACAAGAGGCAGGAGAATTTATGATCACTTTCCCATACGGATACCATGCAGGATTTAACCATGGTTTTAACTGTGCAGAGTCAACAAACTTTGCCACCGTACGATGGATTGATTATGGAAAAGCAGCAAAATTGGTAAGTCATACTGCAGAAAATTGATGCATAAGTAAATCTTTTCTGTGGTTTTTTCTTTGTGAGAATCTATGGAAGCCAACGAGAAAGGGAGAACTATTAGATCAGGTAGTACCTTACAGTGCCATTGAAATTTTATTTATAGTTGTTCTTTTTATAGTGGGTATTACATTTCCAGCAATGTGTATTCCTCTCAGTAGTGAGTTTTGTTTGCAGCTTTATTGTTTTTCAAACCCAGTTCTATTTATGGATATTTTTAAGTTGAAGGTACATATACTGAGGTTAGTGTATGTGAAGACAACTGACTTCTGATTTTAAACCTCTTCTAAGCTCTGCTGTTTGTGGAAGTGCTTTATTTCAACTAGCAATTTTGATACCTGGAAAGAAACGTAAATAAACTTTATTTAAAGCTTAAAGAAACAAGTTTTCTCATCTTCAGTGTCATCAGATATCTTGTAGTACAAGATAATAAAGGAACTATGAACTTAGAGCAGATATTTTCAGGTTTTAGAATGAGGTGTGTTTTACTGAAGATGTTTTAGGCTGAGATTTTGCTTCTTTTCATGTACAGGATGTGAATAAATACACAAATCAAGAAAGTCTGCAGTTTGTTCAGTGGAAGTTTGATACCGTTTATCAGTATTCTATGAGTTTTATCAGATTTATGGGATGTATAAACTTTTAGTATGCTTTCCAAATATTTGTCAGATATTTTCTGCATTGACTTGTTTGTTATTGAAAAACCCTTTTCAGTAGTGATTTGCTTAATATATTAGCTAATAAGATGACACAGAATAAAGGGCAAATCAGATGTGCAGGTTTCACAGTAATGATAGTGGACTCTCATTAAACCCTTGGGATTGGAAGACCATAAGAAAGTTCTCAAAGAATGGAAATTTATGATGTTAGATACTATTGATTATTATTGTTAATGAGATTGAATATGCTTCAAAGGGAAAAAGTTCATAAATATTTTTTTCTCTGTGCTCTGTGTGCATATACTACCAATAGTGAAAGTACTGAAAATGTTAATATGCATCTAGTATGTTCAGGCTGGTCTTTACCTTTAATGGGAAAGCTGTGTTTTTAATAGCCAGCAGATAAGGTCTTGACTGTAAAGTTAATTAAGAAAAAAAATTCTATGTATTTGATAGCTTGGGATTTCTATATATAGTACAGTGGAACATAGTTGAGAGGAATATGGGCATGGACACATACGAATTAATTGTGGCAGGTAAAACTCTCATGGATTTTAAAAGGTATGAATGTGCTGCAGGTCTAAAATTGGTTCAGTGGAACTTCAAGAATGGCAAACTTTATCTTTACATGTACCAAAGCTGAGGTAGTGATACCTGCAGCTATATCCCTTTCAGTATACAGGCTTCATATTTCTTACATTAAAAAAAAAAAAAAAAAAGTCTACCATTTGGTGTGCAGCTGCTCCAGTACAAACTGTTAACTCTTTTATGCCTTTTATGCCTCTTGTGTGCCTATCGGTTATTGTATTATATCAAAAACTTAATGTCAAGTTTAAATTCAGCAGAGTCAGAAGATAATTTTTTTGAAACTAATGAAATTTTATTCCTTTACACCACTCCAAAAGTGCTTCTGAAATTCTGAATTTTTAGCTAGAAAGTCTTGGCGTCTGTGCTCTAAAGAGTTTTATTTAGTTAAAATTCTCCAGCATAGGCATAAAACTTTCATCTTAGGACACTGACTTCTGTGCTCTGTGGGTATTGTGCATAGAAGCAGTATTATGCATATATAGTATAAGAAATTAAAATAGTTCTGTGGTGTCTGCAGTTGAATTTAAATGTCTGAAAGTTTCAAAGTGGCAGCTGAAGCTGTAGAGAAAGCTTAGATACCATTGTCAAATGTGAACTGCAGTTTCTTTCGCAAATGGCCAAAGTGATTAATGTTACTTGCTTAGTTTTTTATAAATTATAACCACAAGAATGAGGATTAAAGTTTGGTTTTCTTCTCTTTTCAAATAAAAAAACCATGCTAGGAAGTGCTAGGAGTAGGATTTTTAGTATCTTTTTAACGGAAATGTGTAAGAAGAGGAAAACCAATGGAAAGACAGTGAAGTGTTCGTAATACTAGTAGTTGTTTATGCCATACAGATAGGGTAAACAACTCAGAGGAAGTATTATAAGTGATTGTTCTTAAACTGTAATTATATGACACTTTGAAAACACACAGAGAGTTGCTGCATTGGGTACTCTATGGATTATGGTGTTTCTTTGTAAAAACATGAGGATAACTATGATTAGTTTCCTGAAAGTATTAATTAAAAAGGTAAGAAGTCGATATGACCAAAGAATACTGATATTTTATTAAGTTTTACTTGCAGCTCTGGTAATTTCATTTAAAAGAAAAAAAACACCACACAACCTTACATTCCCATTTGTCATTATTCAAGGTACTAATGTTGCGTTTGACTTCTCTTTCCCTTCTTTATGTGTTATGTACAGGAATTTTAATTGAAAAAAATATTTTGGATCCCCTAGTTCCCCTGTATTGTACTGCAAAAATTGCCTGCATCAGCAAAATGCAGCAATATCTAGCTCAGTTGCTGTACTGTCCTTAGAGAATTTTGTATACCGATGATTGATTATTTGTCTTCCTACAGGAACACTTTTATTTTTACGAATAGTTTCTAATTGCTTACAGCTGGACTTCTGTCTTAGAAAAAGAAAAAAATTGTGAAGTACAGTCAATAGTCATTCTTCATTAATTTCAGGAAAAAAAATCGGGAAAAGATTTTTATTAAAGTTGTAGTAAATATTTAGGCTGTGTGATGATACTGCTTTCCTGAATTAAATTAGAGGATGTTAAAGATTCTGTAAAATTGATTGCAAATGTTAAATCAGAGATCATTTAGACCCTCAGTATTAGAAGCTCTGGTTAAGGAGAGATTATGGATGCCTATTCTAAAAATTATTTTCTATCTTTAAAAATGCTAAACTTGTGATCTTGGTTTCACTGTGTGTACCCTAACCACTTGTAGTAGTTGAACCTTGAGAGCAGGGATGTGCTCTCTGGCTTGTTTTCCAGAATTTAGTGTAAGGTTTACACTCAGGAGGCAACACATGAAAAGTCATACCAGGTGGCACTTCCAGTGAGCTCTTTGCTACAACTCAATTTTGGGCAGAATTAAGTTGGACAGAATTAAGTAGAACTAAAAAGTAGATTTGGAAAAAAAAAAAGGCAGAAATGGAGAAATAATAGATAAGTCCCACAAATCAAGGGGAGAAACAGTGTAGTTTGTGCTGACTTTTTCCACTGACAAGAACACACAGGAAGAGAAATACTGATGAAAGGAATAAAGAAGTCATGCTCTCCTGAAGATACTTGGCAAAAGGGTGTGGTTCAGAGGGATATTGGTGAAGTGCTGATGTATGGTAATAGCAGGACTCGGGAAGTCAAAGGTTGGTGGTTCTCTGTTCACAAGTACTTTAGTTGTATTTGTTATGTTCTCTGAGGATGAGAGACACTGTAAGCTTTAGGTATTCTTAATCATAATAATCCTGTAACTTTCATTTGTGGAATGCTATTTATGCCTGAAAAAGAATTAAATGGTACTTTTAAAATAGGGGAAGATATGATATTTCTTCAGGCTTCTGTTAATTCTGTCATTTTTAAATGGAGCTACATCCATTTGAGTAGGCTGAAAATATGTAGTTTAATGAAATATGTTTTGAGTTTCCTTAGTCCAGTGCATTTTCTTTTCATTTTGGTAAAGCAGGTGAGCTAGTGGCAATTAGCTTGTATGTTTTGTAATATCTGCTTTGATTGGTGCTGAGTAGATATCCTGTGTGCTGAACAAGGGATGATGTTCAGTTCTTAGAACTGTTGAATAGAAATATTTACACATAATTCTTTTGTGACTAATAAAATAAAAATCCTTCTGAAACAATTAGATAACAAACACTTCTTTAGTCTGAGAAAAATCTTCTATTCCTCATGTTTATTAGCTGCAGGGTGGGACACTGTCTGCCCCCATCCCGAAATCTGTGCATCATCTATGTTTATTAATTTTATATTTTTGTCTGTTGTAATTGTTATTTTTAATAAATGCCAATGTAGCCCTTATACAAGGTTACAGTGCAAGACCTCTCACTTACAGGTGCCAAAAAGAGTTCTCAGTTGTGATTTTCACCTGTCCAAATTTTAGCTCCGGTGGATGATATCAATAAACTTTAGTCACTCAAATTTTATACTGTGAATCAGAAGCAGATTTAAATTTTGAGTAAAATCCTGTACTTTTGTGTGCAGGCAATTTTTTTTTTCTTTGTTGGAATTCCTTTTTTCTCTTGCTGCTGTTTTTTAAAGGTTGAAAAACTTGGCAAATTGGTTCCTAATCACAGGCAATTCCCGTAAAAAGCACATTCTTGACGTTGTGTAGAGCTTCTGGACTGCATGGTCCCACCTAAACTTGATAGGACAAGGTAGCTCACAGAACAGAATTGTGTTGAGGTGGAGGTTCTGTGCAGGAGGTTTGGGCAGGGCTCTCTATTTCTTCTTTATGCAGTGGTGGTTGTTTTAGTTTTTTCCTTCCGTTTTCCTCTTGTTACTGTTTAAAGTCCCCACATTCCCCTGTCTGTTGCTTTTCCACATCCTCGTGTGAGGGTCTCTTACAACTCTCCATCACCCCTCGGCCAAACCGATACTCATACTTTCAAAAGCTTTCAGAGAAGGCTTTAGCGTTTCCAAATACTGCTCTCCTTGCTCACTGTGTCTGTTTTGTTGCACCACTTGGTAACGTTCACTCAGTGTAAGCATATGTAAATTTTACTCCCTTCTATCAGGGATAGAGTCACACTAGGTGATTTTACTAGTCATTATAATGATTCTTTTGTATTGCATCTCCTTTTAAGACGTGATTTGTTTTCAGATGTTGGTATTGGAAAACTTTTTCTTTTTTTGTTCAGCTGATATGTAGAACCTTAGGAGAGAAGTCTACCAACCTTTTCTACTTGAAACTCAAGCTGCTTAAGTAT